ATCCAGGTATTAGGAGTATTTAGTATTTTATTACAGTATAATAAATGTCTACGTAAAGAATGCACGAAATATTTACAATACGCCTGGCTTGTGCATAACAATATTGGCAGATTACATGGTAATCACATAATTCTGTTATATTTAATTAAATGACATCGCCTCTCAATGGTAGGCAACTTGCCAGGGTATACCATACCCACTTCTCTCTGTTCTCCTTTAAACTAAAGATTGTCTGTAAGAGATAATACTGCCTATTGTACCTTTATGTATATGTATATACATATTGGTATATGTGTATATATTTCAGTCTATACTTTTAGTTTTTTTTTTTAATTGGATGATAATGGAATGGCAATCCCGCCTGCGCTATCGGTATACGCCGGCGGGGCACCAGTCAGGGATGATAGGTGAGGATGAAAGAGCAGGTCAGTTAACCCATCGTGATGAATACACCTGGAATTCAGCACGATGGTTTCCAGGAGGGACCACGTGGAGGTCGACTTGACTGGGTGTATTGCTAGCTATAGGACTGGTAGTCCGCATTACCAACAACCATTACTTTAAGTTACTGTACTTCACTTGAATTGTTCAATTATCAATGTATTTTTTTAAATTACTGGTCCAAAAAAAGAGTTTATTTATTTATTTATTTTTAAAAGGTACATCAACAGTGTAAATACAGACATTAATTTTAATTGATATACACAGGGCTTGCATCTTGCATTTACACCAATTACAGATGTACACAATATTTCCTTAAGTCATCGATTACATATTAACAAAACTGACACCAACGAAACAATAAAAAAAACATATAGGTAATAACATAAGAATACTTAAAGCATACAGTTATTAAAATTATAAGAACAGTGCACACAGAAATAAAATTATTGGTTGTGGAAAAATTGTGGTAGTACTACGAGAGAAGTTTTAGAGTTTTACTCTTGAATGACTTGAGATGGTCGTGACATATTATATATCAAGATTGAGGGACTCGTTACAGGAGTTAAATAATGACTGATCCATTAATAAAACGCAAGGGCCTGCTATGCACCTACAGAGAGGTACTACTCATTTTTACAGTTAAAAATATAGTATAGTTAATTATATTTAATTGGGGGGAAAGGGATTGTTAGCAATGGAGTTCGACATTGCTAGCAATATGCCCTATCAGGTAGATCTCCACGTGGTTCCCCCTGGAAACCATCGTGAACAATTCTTGTTGGATTCGTCACGATGGGCTAACTGACCTGCTTCATCCTCACCTATCATCCTTCACTGGTGCCCCGCCGGTGTATACTGGTAGCGCGGGTGGGGTTGCCATTCCATTGTCACCCATTAAAAAATATATATATTTAATTATCAAACTGAACTAGAGTACTAGGCATAAAAACATACGTAAACACAATAATTAATAATCTGTTTTTAGACGAATACAATGACAAATTGGTGGGAATTGTTGACAAGATGAAAACAAAGTCAATGAAACGACAAAAAACCTGTGCAAGTACATGGCGACAACGCTTTTATAGTTCCACGAACAATGGTGAAAAACATAGTACACCTTTTTTTTATACAACTTAGAATGGCAAACAAGCTGACGGCTCACCTCATGGAAGGTGGTAACCGTCGCCTATAGACATGAGCAGTACCGTGGACATAACAGAGTATACTATTTCGCCCATGATACCCCCCATTCGTTGCCATTCCTGAGGACTCAGTTGTTATTTTTCTTTTTTTTTATATACCATTGAGGTGGCAATCAAGCATACGGCCCACCTGATGGTAAGTGGTTACCCTAACCTATGAACGCCTGCAATATCAGAGGTATTACGCGCGTGTTGCCGACCCTGAAGAAACCCCTGTAACACCTTTTGAAGCACTCCATACTGTAGTCTCTTGGGAAAACCTCGGCAGGGAGCTCATTCCATATCCTGAGTGTTTGTGGGAGGAAACATCTCTGAAACCGCGCAGTACGCGATCATTGAGGCTGTAGGGTATGAAAATGAACTCCCTGTCGATGGCGAGCCGTACGATGGTAGAAAGTGGCTGTGGGCATCATATTGAACAATTCCTCTGAGCACAATCCGTTCTATTCTTTCACAGTTCATGTAAAACTTTATCTTTATTTTACACTAGCGATCCGCCCCGGCTTCGCACGGGTGCACATTACATCACATCACATTAGAAACCTCTAAAATTATCAATGTTTCTCTACAATATTATGCATGTATTATACATATAAACCTTCCTCTTGAATCTATCTATTAAAACAAACCGCTTCAAAATCCGTTGCGTGGTTTTAAAGATTTAAGCATGCACAGGGACGGACAGACAACGACAGCGATTTTGTTTTATACTATGTAGTGATTTTAGCATAAGCATGATTACATTAAAAATGGTTCCGTATATCCAATAATAAATCCAATCCGTATATTAAGTAGGTCGTATAATTAATACCCAAATATCTGAAAAAACGTACAATAAACTAACAAGTGCTTTGGTTAGTTAATAGAGTTAGTATCTCCGGTAACAAGGACAAGTTAGTAGGTAATAATTAAATAGGTAATAAAACAATATATATTTTTTTAATTATGGAAACATAAAATAATTAGTTTAACCAGAAAGAGACTTTGTACAAAACTCGTTTGCGTGGGTACCTCTGTTCCATTTGTGTTTCAACCGTGAAGCAGTTGTGTTTGCATGGCTGTGTTGCAGTTTGAAGGGTAGGATATGGTGTGAATTTACTGGGTACAGAGGAATAACATCCGAGTCCTCAGGAATGGCAACGTATGGGAGGTATCATGGGCGAAATAGTACACTCTGTTAAGTCCATGGTACTGCTCATATCTATAGGCGACGGTTACCACTTTCCAATAGGTGGCCCGTCAGCTTGATTGCCATTCTAAGTTGTATACAAAAAAGTGAAAAATAAATTCGTTCCATACATGAAACAACATTCGGTTTTGATAAATCAAGTTCCTATTAGAATATTTACAGCAATTATCGAATACCTTGTTTGATGTGTAGTTGGGAACACAATTTAGTAAATTGCTTCACATTAATTTATTTAATTCTTTGTGTTTTCCAGATTTGCAATATCATTTACAGGTTACGCGATAATTGGTTTCAAATACTATACTGGCTGCCATCATAATCAGGTATTTTAATTATCGTTTAAGGAATCTAGTATACTAATGATCCATTAAAAAAATCATCTATCGATTTGATGAAATACAACAATATAATAATGACACGGCGAAATTTAATAATAACAATTTTAGCTTTATAATAATAATAATAAACTCTTTATTGCGCACAGTAGAGATGTATACAAGGAGTATTTATACAGAATGTGCATATACAAAAGGAGGCCTTATCGCTAAAAGCAATCTCTTACAGACAACCTGGCATAAAGAATGGATAAGTACAGAGAGAAAGGTAGATGGCGCTAGTCAGACACAGTAAATACATAAAAGGAATCAAACAAAATGCAAAATATTCTAAATATAATTTAGTTAGTTATGGTGGCAAACAAGCCGACGACCCGTCTAATGGTAAACAGGGTTACCGTAGTCTATGGACGCCTGTAACATCAGGTACGTCACGTGCGCGTTGCCGATCCTTAAGAAAGTTTAATAGGTTCTTTTTGAAGAACCCTACGCTGAAGTATTTACCTTCCTTTACAGGGTGGAGACATCTGGCGCTATAAATAATAACAAGTTGCATATGAATTATTGTTATTCGTTTACACTTTATAATATGTGTAAATATTTCTCAACTTTACAAAAAAAAAATACGATTGGAGATTTTTTCTATATTTATGTACAGAAGAGATACAAATTTGATATTTTTATGTTGTAATATCCACTTGTTTTGATATTATAAATAAGTATAGATATTTCATTTTTATTACCAGCCAATCGTTACAAAATATTGACATAGTACGAGACGTGAAGAATACCTATTTATGTGGGATAATGAAAATTGTATACGATCTAAAACTAGTTAAATATATAGCGATGTATTTATTTAGTTAAACTTCAATGTATAGTTTGAATATATGTTGGTGGACTTAACACCGAATGAAGATTGGGCAAACAGTCAAAAAGACAAAAGTAGCCATTCTTGTCTGGATACAAAATTAAAAAATTAACAGATATATAACAATTATAATGCGCAAGAGATATACTTATTTATACTGAACTAAATATGATCAAACAGATTTTACAGAGACGCGAGTGTCGCTCTATACGTGTGTCGACGATCCTATATTTTACGTAACTTAAAACATACTTAGATCCACGTGTTTTTCCCTAAAAAGTATCACCTTTGTGGTACAAAAAAAATCACATGAAGATAGAAATGAAGTAAATGGTTATCTTCTATTAACAATTCTATTAATAAATTATATGTATTTGATATTTTTGTGCATTACAAGTTTTTGTATTTTATACACGAAAAATTATTAATTCACTCTTGCGCCACCTGCCCACTTCTATCTGTTCTCCTATAACCAAAGGTTGTCTGTAAGAGATTGCCCTAGCAATAAGACCGTCTTTTGTACCTTTATGTGTATATTTCAATCTGTATTTATATTACTGTATTTCACTTGAATTATTCACTTGTCATTCTATATTTTTATTTATGGTGCAATAAAGAGTTAAATAAATAAATAAATAACAATTTCTGTTTGCAGTAGACAAAATTTCCTTCTATACTTTTGTGGTAAACAAAAACACCTTGCCCATGACATTGGTTCTAATTAGTAAAGAAATGTAAACACGTAACTAGACCCTATGAAATTTAATGTGCAAGCGTTTGACGGCCAGTATAAATTGGCATTCCGCACCTCTCGTATACCTAATTGTTTGTGATGATCAAGGGGATATAGAGGGGAAGGGAGAGGTCCAAATAACGATGGCCGGTCGCCGCAGGTGATTCAGAAGACAGGTCTAGTGCTTGCGCAACCCGTATAAAAGGCTACAGTAACGAAACATATGCACAGTCGAAAGCTCGACGCCTTACCAACTGTCAGCCATATATTTATTTATTAATTTATTTTATTTTTATTAAAAAAAAATGAGTGTGTCCTTGTGCATATTGTTAATAAGCATTGCAGGCGCATCTGCGGGAACACTGCGTGAGTTTTATAAACATTTTTTCTTTAAATAACAGTAAAATTTTTTTTTATTATTAATTTAAATATTTATTTTATACTTAGATATAATATATTTATTATATATAATATCTAAGTATAAATTATATATATATAAGTATATACTTAGATAGATAACTCATACTTTTGAACAGCTATTTTCGACGATTAAAAACACACTGAAACTTCAATATTTATTTATTTATTTACTCTTTACTCCACTATTTAAAGTATAATACAAAACATATTTATTTATATATTGAATATTACTTATTAATAACAATTGTTATACTAAAGTTAAATTTTTTTTTATAATATTTATACATACGCTCTATTATTCATAATAATTAAAACTGACTACAAATTAATTTTAACTATTATTGAATGTTTTCTCATTTTATTTCACAAATAAAAATTTATGCATTTCAACAGCTAAAATAGTTTTATAAGTGTTTGACGTTTTTATATATATATGTAAAAAAAAAAAATTAAATCAGACTTAAATGGTAACAAACATTTAATACTCCGATATTGGGATCGTTTGCTAAATTAGATTAAAATTTAATTAATCAATAGATAGTTTAGGTTCTGTTTATTACGTACAGTAAATAACTTATTATAATTTAATGTTTAATTCACACTAAATTATTTTTGTCCTTTATAAAACACATTTCACAAGTTTCAGACGTTTTAAAATCTCATAAATTATACATTTTTTAATAAATATATAATTAAAAAGTAAATTTTTCTATAACAATTTTATTAAAATTTAAGAAATTATTATTAAAAATATATATTTACATGTTGTAGTAAATAAGCGTGTAAAATAAATAGTATTTTATAAATTTAGAATAAAATCTAGACATGTTGTTATTTTATTAATTTATTTATATATTAACTATAAATCAGAGATTAATTGGATACATATTTTATTCAGTTATATATATATATATATATATATATCAATTAGTATATTTCTTGTTATTTATGACTGTATCTAAAGAAATCCAACATTAACATAATATCTCTTTAATAAGCAATGACAAGGATATTTTTTTTATATTAAAACATATGGTTATTCTAAATCTAACTATATTAGTCATCTTTCTAAATACTAATACAATAACAGTTTGATTAAAATAGATTGTTAAACATTTTTCTCCATGAAAATAGTAATTTTTAAATATTGCTATTTTATAAAAGTCTATAATTATAATAAATACAATTAAAATAATGCCACGTATAGTATATTTTTTTATACAACTTAGAATGGCAAACAAGCTGACGGCCCACCTGATGGAAAGTGGTAACCGTCGCCTATAGACATGAGCAGTAACATGGACATAACAGAGTATACTGTTTCGCCCATGATACCCCTCATGCGTTGCCGTTCCTGAGTATTTATATGCTATTGTAGGAAATTTGAAATGGACATCTGCGGTTCAAGTCATAAAATATTCTGAATGTTTAGACACGAGTCATGTTTGTACTTTAAAAAAAAAACAATGACTTGAATCGTGTGTGACAGACAATACACAGATGAACAAGATGTTTCGTAGACACATCAGATTAAATATAATTTAATATATAATACGAAATCGTATATAATACATATATGTAACTTTTTCTTCGCTATACGCAGTTTTTTGCCCAGTTTTAATCGTCAAAACAATTAATATATAATTAATACACGAGAGTTTATTCCCGACTTCCAAATCTGTTTAGAATTGGCGATGTAACCGCGTAAAAAGTAAAATTTATCAAATTAAAAAAAAAAATTGTTACAATGGCAAGCCACAAATTTTATTTTTTTATTTTTATAAACCTGACTTCAAAAAGATCAATTCGGTTGTATGTTATATTAGTTTTTTTTTTTTTTTTTGTTATATTTTTTTTTTTTTAGTACGTTTGTTCCGTTTGGAACAGGCTAAGGTCGGAGACCATGCTGCCTAGTCTTCAAAAAGATAATTTGTCTGGAATTTGTTATTTACCTTATAACTCTGTCAGTTGTAAACCGATTTGAATTTTTTTTTTAATCTAAAAGGACATACTTTATCGGTCTCATAGGAAATTTATCAAATTCTTTTTGAAGTCGATTAAAAAAAAACAACGGTCATTGTATTACCGCTGAATTATAGACATATCCTATTAAATATAGATGTAATACTAGTTTTGATATATAAATTAAACAAACGATTAAATCTAGTAGGCATAGGTTGCAATGGTTTGGTAAGTGATCGAATCCAATCTCATTATGAATGAACGATCAGGTTGATCAAGTTATGACCTAATTATCTTGTCGTGCAAGGTGCAAAAACATAGGTAACCAACTAAAATACAGAGGCAGCATTCGTAAAAACATACAACTTTCTCTGTGAAAGAATGAAGGTCGGATTACAAATCGGTCCTTTATAGATATTGAAGAAAAAAAAAATAAACCGAAAAGCTTAATAGCTTTTAGTTTTTGTTTTCTTTAATAATAATAATATTCTTTATTATCAGGCACTTAACCCATAGAGGTACAATTGTATTACAACGTGCTCGGATTACATATAAAAATATAACAATTGAAACATACAAAAAAAAATCATAAAAATTAAAATATGTAGAAAATTTATAAAAAGTAAAGTAAATAATATAGCGAACACAGTTATTAGATACAAAAAAAAAACTGCCATAATAGATTGGTTCCTATTGATGAATGTGTCGATATATGTGAAGTGAAACCAATGCAGTACATAAAACTAACTCCCTTTTTTATAAAACATAAAACATCTTACAAATATTTTAGAGTATTTTGTCATTGTTTAACTAATTGCCCCCGGGGGGAAAGGGATTGTTAGCAATGTAGATTGAAAATCCCATTGCTAGCGATATACCCAACCAGGTCGACCTCCTCGCTGTTCCCCCTGGAAAGTGTCATGGTTAATTCCTGATGAATTCATCATGATGGGCTAACTGGCCTGTTTTCATTCTCATCTATCACCCTTCACTGGTGCTCCGCCAGCGTATCTCGTTATCGCAGGCGGGGTTACCATACCATTTTCACCTATCAAAAAAAAACTAATTGCCCCCTTTCAACGATGCGAACGATTTGTATTTCATCTTTTTAGTATGTTATATTTTAAAAATCTTTCATTTTATTTATTAAGGAATTGCTTTAACTAGATCAATTAAAGTCATTTGCTTAGGTACCTCTGTCCCATTCGTGTTTTTACCGTTTAGCAGTTGTGTTTGCATGGTTGTGTTCGGTTTGAAGGATGGGATGTGGCAGTGAATTTACAGGGTACAGAGGAATAACACCTGAGTCCTCAGGAATGGCAACGCATGGGGGGGATCATGGGCGAAACAGTATACTCTGTTATGTGCATGTGTACTGCTCATGTCTATAGGCGACGGCTACCACTTTCAACAGGTGGGCCGTTAGCTTGTTTGCCATTCTAAGTTGCATATAAAAATCAATGCATCGTCTCTTACTTTTTATGTTTAGGGTAAAGTAAATAATACTTCTTTTTTACTGCTTAAAAATGCTATTAGAGTGCATTGAAATAAATGCTGCAGTTTTTGTGACCATCCTAATACGTAAAACTGTATTAAACATATTAAACTTATATATGTAATAAGCGGATTTTTGCTTGGCTGGAAACAATGGCTGGAAACAATTAAAAATTGAAAAAAAAAATAATCAAAATAGGTTCACAAATGTCTAAGACGTGTACAACATACACAAAATTCCGACGAATTGAGTTTACGAAGTTTTGTGTTTACGGTATTCAAATCTCATTAATTCTTGTCTTATCATCACGGTAACAAGTCATTACGGTCCCAACAGTGAGCATTCCATGTTAGAAGAGGGTATTGGCCTGCTATTATCATACTGGCCAGGCCACATAGGATTTTTTTTGGAGTTTTGTTTCGCATTGTTGTCATAAGATTTCGTATATATTTTTATTTCCGTAAAGACGGAACTGCCTTTAGTCGCTTCTTAAGACATTCCGATTTTAATGCATCGTAAAAACGATGTCAAATTTTGAATTAGATTTTTTTATTTATTCATTGGCATATTGGCAATAAATACAATTTAATTGTATCCTTAATTCTTTTTTTATTAAAAAGTATCCTATTGCCGAGGCAACTAAATAATGTATTCTATTCCAGACCACATCTGTGACCTCCCTATGCACAACATGACATCTAGTGTTTCCTTTATCTGTCCCATGTAATTATTTCTCGGCCTCTTTTGCCCTCTATTTTTCCTTCTAGTATGCTCTTTATAAAATTGTCATGTCGTGTAAGGTAACACAGCATTTTGCCTCTTTTATTCTCTATTGTTTTAATTCATGATCTTTACTCAGTTATCATTTACAAGACTTTCTTGTTTGTTACCTTTTCTGTCCAACTCATCCTTTCCATTCCCAATTCGTTATTACATGAAAAACTGAACTAATCGAACGATTGTTCCTTTAATATTGAAAGGTGTTAATTCCAATAATGATCTCTTGTTAATTTCACAAAGTTTGGAATTAATACTGCAAATTATTTGTTGTTGTGTACCTTTTTTTTATACAACTTAGAATGACAAACAAGCTGACGGCCCACCTGATGGAAAGTGGTAACCGTCGCCTATAGACATGAGCAGTACACATGCACATAACAGAGTATACTGTTTCGCCCATGATCCCCCCCATGCGTTGCCATTCCTGAGGACTCAGGTGTTATTCCTCTGTATCCAGTAAATTCACGCCATATCCCACCCTTCAAACCGAAACACAGCCGTGAAAACACAACTGCTTCACGGTTGAAACACGAATGGGAGAGAGGTATACAAGCAATCGACTTTTGTACAAAGTCTCCCTCTAATGTTCATGTATATCTGCATTTGATATGCATGATCAGTAACCGAACAGTACTTAGTTATTATGTTTCACAAACATTAGATATCCTCGCAATATCCGCTAATTTTATTGGTGGATAATTATTCTTGT